ACAAGAGCGCCCAAGAGAGGCCCAAGAGGGCTCCAAGAGGCAACTTTCTGGTCTTCGAACAGGGGGCTGACGTTGAGAACCACCCTTTTCTGTCATCGATTGCATCCGAGCTGGCCCCAAGAGTGCCACGAAGGCCCCTCAAAAGATCCCAAGAAGAACGCCCGAAGACAGCCCCAACGAGCACCCGAAATGGCTCCTAAAAGATGGTCCGAGTAAACTGCCAGCGTGATCCCATACCGAAAAATCTGCGAAGGAATGTATGGCTGACTCCTGGGCCTGCTCAGGCTCAGAGGGGAAGGAGGGAACATCCAGCTGGAATCGGCAATGCATCGCCGATAGATCGGCGATAGGCCCCTGGCATCAGGCACCTATCGGCGATGAGTACTCAACTGGGGGCCGATGCACTCCCCCCTGAGCCTATCCCCCCCTCAAGGGCCCCACATGGCTTTCGGGTCATAACTCAGCTCTCCGGCGGACGCCAGGGACGATCCGGGCACCCCCGGACGCCTCTCGGCGAGGCGCAGCTGCTGGAGAGCATCCCGAGGCTGGAACACCACGGAGCACCGGCGGAAACGCCCGAAAACCTCAAAACTCGAACCCGAAACATTCCCCCCTAAGCCTATTCCCCCCTATCGGCTACAAGAGAGTGACCCTAGGCAAGAGTGACCTATGGTGCGCGGCTGTCAGGGGTGCACGCGGGGGCCAAACCCGAACGCGCAAGCCGCTACTAGTGCAACGCATGCAACGATCGGGGGATCCCAGTGGGCCCGCAACAAAGGTCACTCCTGCGAAGGGTCACTCTTACTTGTAGCTGGCCCTGAGACAGCAACTCACGGAGGCTTGTGGTCGCGCCCATGGCGCACACTAGCGCGCCCTATCGCGCGCAAGGCGGACATAATGTATCTCCTCGTTTGGCGGCATCTGGCGCTACTGGTCGCTAATCCGCTGTTGGACGCTATTTGAGCGCTGTCTGGCGCTATTGAGCGCTGTTGGGCGCTATTCGCCGATATACACCAAATCCAAGACATGCGGAACCATCTGCGATGTATTATCAAATGTAGCCGACCCGACTGCTGCCCCCGAGGAGATGTCCTCCCCCTGCCCCTGCCCCCTCCTCATCCTTCTTCGCCTCCTCCTCCTCCTCCTCATTCTCTTCCTCTTCGTCCTCCTCCTCCTCCTCCTGCTGCTCCACCGCGTCCTCCGCCTTCTCCTCCTCCTCATGCTCCTCCTCCCCTTCCTCCTCCTCCTCCTCCTCCTCCTCCTCCTCCTCCTCCTCCTCCTCCTGCTCCTCCTCCCCCTCCCCCTCCTCCTCCTCCTCCTCCTCCTCCTCCTCCTCCTCATCATCATCATCATCCATCATCATCAACATCAACATCAACATAAAATCACATCATCATCATCATCATCATCATATCAACATCATCATCATCATCATCATCATCATCATCATCATCATCATCATCATCATCATCATCAACATCCATCATCATCAATCATCACCTTCCTCCGCATCCTCCTCCTCCGCCTCCTCCTGCTCCTCCTCCTCCTGCTCCTCCTCCCCCTCCCTCCTCCTCCCCTCGTCCTCCTCCTCCTCCTCCCTCCTCCTCCTCTCTCCTCCTCCCTCTCCTCCTCCCCCTCCACCTCCTCCTCCTCCTCCTCCTCCTCCGCCGCCTCGCCCTTGTCGTCGTCTTCAAGATCGGCGGCATGGGCCGTAAGGCCTTCACAATCCAAGACACGCGGAACCGTATGTGATGTACTATCTGGTACAGCCGATCCTAATGATGCGGCCGAGGAGAGACGGATGCGCACCCAACCTACCCCGAGCCCGGAGCGCGCGCGCGCGAGCGCGCTGGGCTGCCGAGGTGCCGCGGGCTGGGGGTCGGCGGCCTCCAGGTTGGCGCCGTACCGCCGGCGGAACTGGTCGTACAGCACCAGCCGCTCGTTGATGAGCCTGCGAGCTGGAGTCCGAGGGGCTCGGTGAAGAGAAAGATCGGACGTAGATTGAAGAGGTTCGAGGTACGAAATGTTCGCGCGCTTCGTCGATTCTCGACGGCATTCCAGCCTCGGGATGCAGCTGCGCCTCGCCGAGAGGCGTCCCGAACGGTCGCCGGAGGTTATGACACGAAAACGAGACGACGAGGATCACCGGTGGGACACGCTCACCTTGACTTCGGATCCGCCGTATCTTGGTCGAGCTTGTGTCGGAAATGGACCCCAAGCGATGCGCCAAAGCGAGAATTACCGCCTCAGAAAGAGTGGGGCGGATATATCCGCAAAAATATTGCGGAAGTAGAGACGGCAAAGCAGTAGCGACGGCAAAGCATAGCGACTTGACGCATAGGGCGGGAATGGTCGCTCAACTTACGAAATCGCCAGGAGTACGGCGGATCCGAAGACAGGGGAGAGCACAAGTGCAAAGGCCAGGAGGATGCACAAAGACCGCCTGGGGGAGCTCTCTTCGAAGACGTCGGCAGGCGGTGGATATGGACAGACTTGCCCACCCAACATATCCATATCCACATCCACCGCCTGCCGAAATCACCGAAGATCAATCCCCCGAGCGACCGTCCTCGGAACACGGATGCACGGAACGGAGGCGCCAGCTCGTCGCCGGCCAGCGCTCGAAGCAGAGGAGCCGCGGACCGGGCCGGTCGGACCCGCCCCGCTGACTCGGAAGAATAGGCTCCAGACCTCGGGTCGAGGAGGGGGAGGGGGGGGGGGAAGAAGGGAGCGGGGGCGTGTCATGTCAAATGGGGCGTCGAGCCCCGCCAGGTGGATGACCTTCCCCGGCAACTCCGAGGCTGTGGCCCGGAAAGGCTCGGGTGGGTGAGTGGGAATAGCCTGATGCTCTTCGAGGGGCATCATCGAATCATGCAGATCCGCGGCGGGGAGGGGGGGAGGGAGGGAGGCTGTTGGCCGAACAGCATCTCGGCGCTAGTATGCCTGCTTGGAGGGAGGGCGGGGAAGGAGGAGGGGGTGGTGGTGGTGGGGGTGGTGGTCACTCCATAAAGGAAACAAGACCCGAGCAGAGGAACACGCACCACGACCACGACGACGCCGACAAAGACGACGGCGACAAGGCGCGCACATGATCCGCACCGAGGCACCGTTTAGGGAACCCACCCTGCAAGTTCCCCTGAGCAAAGGCCCCCACGGAGCATCAGCCAGACAAGCTGGGTTTGCACCCTCATGCCTTACTGGTCTCTGGGCGCGTTTCGGTACTGCCACTGCCGCCGCCAGAGGGGGTGGAGGGAGGAGGAGGAGGGGAAGGAGGGGGAGGAGGATGAGGAGGAAGAGGACGCGGACGCGGAGGAGGCGGAGAGGTCGGCGAGGCAGGAGGAGGGAGGGAGGGGAGAGGGGGGGAGGAGGAGGGCCTCTCTTCGTCCTCATCCTTCTCGTCCTTGAAAGGCAACAGCCGGGGGGAAACGTCGACATGGAATCGGCGATGCATCGCCGATAGATTGGGGATGTGCTATCGATAGCGAATCCGAACGTCCCTGGGCGGGAAGAGCAATCAGGCCCCCATCGGCGATCAATGGCCGATTGGGGGTCGATGCATTCCCACCATGAGCCATCCCACCCTAGCGTTGTCCTTGAGTCGTTTTCCTCCTCCTGTTCATTCTCCTCCTCCTGCTCCTCCTCCGCCTCCTCCTTATTATCATCAGCATCATCGGCATCATCACCAGTATCGTCACGACGATAATCAGCATCATAATAATTACAATAATGAAAATCATCATCATCATCATAATCATCATCAGCAGCAGCAGCAGCAACATCATCATCCGCATCAGCATCAGTCAGCATCATCATCATCATAAGCATCATCATCACCAGATTCATCATCACCATCAGCATCAGCATCATCATCATCACCATAATCACCATCATCGACATCATCGCCAACATCAACATCAACACCATCCTCACAATCCTCAGCAGCAACATCATCACAACCATAATGATCCTCATCAGCATCAGCATCCGCATCAAGATCATCATCAGCATCCTCATCATCATCAGCAGCAGCATCGGCATCAGCACCAGCATCATCATCAACATCGTCGTCATCATCAGCATCGTCATCATCATCATCAGCATCATCAGAAGCAGTATCATCAGCATCATCACATTAATCAGCATCACCAGCATCATCATCATCACCACCATTCATCATCAGCAGCATCCCCATCACAACCATAATAATAAGCAACGTCAGCATCATCATCAGCAACACCATCATCATCATCATCATCATCATCATCATCATCATCATCACCATCACCATCACCATCACCATCACCATCATCATCATCATCATCATCATCATCATCATCATCATCATCATAATCGTCGTCAGCATCAACATCACCATCATCATCACCATCGCAATCATCAGCATCATCATCCGCATCATCAAAGGCAGCATCGTCATCACCCTCATCATCATCAGCACCATCAACAGCATCATAATCGTCAGCAACATCAGCATCACCATGATTATCGACATCATCACCAACATCAACAACAAGTTCATCATCACCATCAGCAGCATCAGCATCACAACCATACTCATCAGCAACATCAGCATCATCCACATCACCACCATCACAATCCTCATCCTCCTTTTCATCCTCATCATCAGCATCGGCATCAGCAATAGCATCAGCATCAGCATCATCACAATGATCATTGCCATCATCATGATCATCATCATCATCAGCAGCATCATCATCAGCAGCAGCAGCATCAGCATCAGCATCAGCATCATCCTCACCATCACCATCATCATCATCATCAGCAGCAGCAGGAACACCTTCATGAGCATCATCATCATCGTCCTCCTCCCCCTCCTCCCCACCACCATCATCCCCGTGCTCCTGCCCATCATCCTCAGAGGGGCGGAGGAGACGGTGGAGGAGGCCGAGTCGGCGGCTCTGCGCGCAGCGAGCGCGGGCGTTTGCCTACCACCCCCCCGCGGCGCCCAGCGGGCGCTCGGATCAGCGCTCTCGGCATGCCGGCGGCGCTGGGGCGATCCCGGGAGCAGAGGCAGGCGGGGCGCCACCCTGGCAGGGGGTCCCAGCTCTCGGCTCCTCCTGCTCCTCCTCCCCCTCCTCCTCCCCCTTCCACCTGCTCCTCCCCCCCCCTCCACCTCCACCTCCTCCCTTGCTCCTCCTGCTTTTACCTCGCCTCCTCGTCCTCCTCCTCCTCCTCCTCCTCCTCCTCCTCCACCTCCTCATCCTCCTCCTCCTCTTCGTCTCCTCCTCCTCCACCTCATCGTCCTCCTCTTCCACCTCCTCCTCCTGTTCCTACTCCGCCTCTTCATCCTGCTCCTGCTCCCTCCTCTTCTCCCTGCCTCCTCCTCCTCGTCGCGCGACGTGAAAACCTGGCAGTCGAAGGAAACCAAAGCCAAGCAGTAGACAAAGCCAGCGAGCAAATCAGGGGACGAAGGATCAAAATCCTCCTCCTTCCTGCTCCTTCCACCTCCGCCCACATCCCGCGTGTCCTGCCGCTTTGTTCGGAGCGTGCGCTTTCTGTGCTCCAGAAAGCATCTGCCACGGAGCACATGCCCTTCCCACTGCAATATGTCATCCTCCTCCCCCCCCCCTCCTCCTCCTCCTCCTCCTCCTCCTCCTCCTCCTCCTCCTCTCCTCCTCCTCCCTCCTCCTCCTCCTCCTCCTCCTCCTCCCCTCTATCCTCCTCTCCTCCTCCTCCTCCTCCTCCTCTGCTCCTCCTCACCTCCCTCCCTCCCCCTCCTCCTCTCTCCTCCTCTCACCTCCTCCTCCTCTCCTCCTCCTCTCCTCCTCTCCTGCCCTCCTTCTCCTGCTCCTCCTCGCCCTCCCTCCTTCCCCTCCCCCTCCTCCTCCTCCTCCTCCTCCTCCTCCTCCTCCTCCTCCTCCTCCTCTCCGTCGTCTTATTCTTCTTATTATTATTATACGTCTTCGTCTTCTTCTTCTCAGTATTAGTACTCGTTGCCTTACTAATATCATCATGAGTAGTATTCGAATTATTATTATTGCTCGGATTCATGTTATTACTATGATGATTATTCTTATCATTCGTATTACTAGTACTAGTATCATTATTAATAATAGTATGGTTAGTATTACTATCCGCAGTATTCTTACAACTATTGTTGGTAGTATGACTCATTCGTCTTAGTATTACTATTCGTATTATTATTAATATGATTATCATTATTATTCTTAGTATTCCTCCTCCTCCTCCTCCTCCTCCTCCTCCTCCTCCTCCTCCTCCTCCTCCTCCTCCTCCTCCTCCTCCTCCTCCTCCTCTTCCTGCAGCCACACCGACACACAGGTCGATCCTCCTCCTCCTCCTCCTCCTCCTCCTCCACCTCCTATTGTTTACCCCCCCGTCCCCCTAGAAGTGTCGAAATGCGGACTGTCTTGTCGAACTACTGAAAGCCTCGACCCCCCCCTCCCCCAGCCTGGCCAGCGCCAGGGGAGGGGGGAAACAACCAACAACTAAAGAGAGACAGAGGGAGACGGTCACGCAGTCGAATACCAGTGAATACCTGAAAGGGGGGAGAGGGTGTCGGGGGGGGGGCTGGAGGCTCTGTGGCGGCCAGTGCACGTGCGGATGTGGCCCGAGCGCGGGTCCCAGCCCCCCGAGGTGAGCTGGAAACCACGTCGGCTCGCCTCTCCTGGAGTAGGGTCGCCCATTCCGAAGTCCCGACCACCTGAAGCTCCCGACGTCGAGAAGAAGCGCGCGGGGTGAAGGTGCTGTGCTGCGCGGCGGCACGAAGCAGGAGAGGGCAATACGGATGGGGGAGAGTAACAAGAATCGCGGGCCTTGGGCGGTGTCCAAAGCGCCAAGCTGGCGACGGGCGGCGGCGAAGGAGGGTAATTTCGAGAGGCGGGAACAAATACGAGGGTTGGTGGAAGAGGTGGTCCGAACGGGGCCATCGCCCCCCCCCCCAGAGGAGGGGGAAGGGTGGCTCCCTCGGCCTGGTTGGTCCACGGCCGTCATCGAAACTGTGCCCCGCACAGCGGCCTGTGACGAGATCAGCCCTTCCGGCCACGTCGCCCACCTCTCGCCCGCCCCACCCTCTCCTTCCCAAAAGAAAATGGCTGCAAGTTGCGGCGGGGCGAGGTGGAGAAGGTGAGCGGGCGAAACTGCAAGAAGGGTAAACGAGGGAAGGGATAATTAGGGCGCGCCTGGAGGTACATCCGAGGTGGTGGATAACGGATGCGCCAGCGCGGGCGGAGTGTGTGATATGGCAGAAGGCGAGGTACCCGTAGTGCAGGATATTACTGCTGTGGACGTAAGCGTTGTGCTGGAGTTGGACGCGCAGCTCCATGCTGGGTCGGTGGCGAGGCTACCTCTGCTGCGCCGCGTGGTAGCTGGTGCTGCTGCTGCCGTGGTGGCAGTAAGTGCGTAGTCAGGATGTGACAGAGCACTGAGAGCTGTGAAGACAGTAGGAATCAGCTGAAGGGGAGTCGCGCCACCGAAGCAAAACTGCGGCATGGGAAAGCTGCGCCCCGCGTGGGTCACTGCAGCTCGAGAAGCCTGTCGCTGGAAGACGTGGCGCACGCGGTGAGGGCTCTCGTGCCGCGGGTCCTGCAGGCGGCATAAGGCAGGAGTTCGGAGTGGCCGAGCTGTTGCTGGCGTCGTCGCTGCAGTTGCGGCTGCTCCCTGCGCCAGGCGGTCGCCCAGCCTTGCATGGCAGTGCGGCGGGTGGAGGCAGCACCAGTCGGTTGTCGGAGTGGTAGATGAAAGATGGCTGTCCTGGCTGTCTCGTTGGACCCCGCGCCCACAGCAAGGCTGCCGCTGGACTCGTTCTGGCAGGCCCGACGGCGCCCGATTCTCTCGTGGTGGATGGTGCGGCGCATGATTTTGCATCCTGCCCTGCGGTACTCGCCCAAGTACCCCGAGCCCATGGGTGAGACGCGGCCTGCCAGTGGTGTCAGTGATGCTGGCGATGTAGGCTTCGTGTTCGATCCTGCGGCGTGGATCCACTCTCTCAGCACTGTGGCGCGGGGTCCTCGCCCTGCTCGTGCGCCTGGTGCGTATAGCTGCGCCTCGGGTCCGCTCGCCCCGCGCCCCGGTGGCCAGTCGGCGTTCCCGCCCGAGGGTTGGGCGGCGCCTCGATCCACGCTCTGCGGAGGAGCTCGCTTGTGGTGGTCGGCAGGCAGATGTCCGCGTGCTTCTCCTCCGGGCCCCCGTCGTTGCAGATACTGCGGGCCTCGTCGATGTCGCCGCCGGGATGGCCCGCCGCCGTCCCGAGGAAGATCGCGACGGGGAAGCATCGTACACCGTGGACGTTCATGAGAGGTTTGGCCTCGGCGCGCGCTGTCGTTGTTCGGGATGGTCTCGGCGGTCTCAGTGTTGCTACCTGTGGGCGCGGTCTCCTCTTGCTTGTCGACGCGGTTCTCGCTGCCGCCGCTGTATTGATCGGGATGCACGTCTGACGGGGATTGGCCTCTGCAGTAGCTCTGTGTGAAAATCTCGACGTCGGCTTCGGCGCGCGTTGGGGGCGAAGCCTTTGGCTGCGGTGGTGGCAGTCGGATGGCCGGCGGCGTCGGCGCAGCCGCGTGTCGTAGATGTTCGCGCTCCTTGGCGATGTTCGGATTCTCTTCGCTGTCGATGTCGGGCTCCTCTTGGGGACAGCAGTGGGGAGTGCTCTGCGGCGTGGTAGCTTTGCTTGGTCGATCGGCGCGTGCGTATCGTCGGCAGTCCCCGTCGTTGGCGCGGTGACCTGCGTGGTGCTGCGGGTGCCTCTCGTGACTGTGGCGCCTTGGGGGCAAACTTGCTCGCAGTGGCCTTGTGCCTGCTGCGGCTCCTCGGCGATGAGCACATCTTCGCTGCGAGGGAGCACCTGGTCGTAGACGTCTTGCAACCCTACGCTGGTCCGCATGACGTCGGCGGGGGTGCACTTGTTGCATGTCCCGTCTCTCGGATTGTCCATTAATTATGTACTATCGTAAGGCCACAGTCCCTGCAGACTGCCGAAGGGTTGTGTGTAGCTGGAGTCGAGGCGTCGGTGCTGGATACCGGGTTGCGTCCTTCTGGCGGAGCGCCGTCTTGGCTGTTGTCTATTTGTTGTGCAAGATCAGTCCCATATTCAAGATTCAGGGCCATTTCTCTAGCAATGTCGCGTACGACCTGTGCGACTTGTAGCAACAGGCTGCCCAAATTCATGTTGGTAAACGATGAAGCTGGGTCGCAGTGGCTGAGCTGGCAGATGGCGAAGATGACCTTCTTGCGGAACTCCGTCTCGTTGCTGCACTTGCTCTAGTATCGCTCAAGTGGCGTGACGTCAATGACCCCGTTGGCCTTCACGGGTGGTGGTCCTGGCGGAAGGGGTGGACTGGGTTCGTCACCGTCGGTCTTGTACGGGGGAAGGGGGATGATGACTTCGTCGCCCGTGGTCTCGCTGGGGTACCGTAAGATGTTCTTGCTGTCGCTGGTTAGGTACCTCTGTTCTTTGGTGTTCGTAGTTTCCAGTTATCCGGGGATTCCCAAGTGGATGTTGTGGTCTGCGGATTGTGGTTGCATGCCGTAGCAACATCGTCCTTTAGGTACGCTTCCATGGGTATGGCAACTTCATGTGGTGCGATAGCAGCGCAGGGAGTCAAGCATTGAGGTCGTCGGGGTTGCGCGCCGTCGGTTTGCAGATCAGAGGTGTGGTCCTACGTGAGGCGTATGGACAGTATCTCGGTCGCATGTCGGGAAGGCGCTGCTCAACCGTCGGGCGCGTCGTCCATTGTGGAATTGTCGGTGGCGCTGGCTTTGCTGTCGGCACTATGGCCGTGGTTGCGATCGGCTGGCAGTAGGGGAAGGCTTGGGCCCGTCGCTCCTCAGGTGATGTGCGAGTGGGTGGCCTTCTGGCGACTGGATCGATCGATCGCCAGGGTGGTCATAGGCTCTGAACCCTGGCATCCGGGTAATGCCTGCCAGACTGAGCCCCCTCTCCCTCCCACTCCTCTTGCTCCTCCTCCTCCTCCTCCGCCTCCGCCTCCTCCTCCTCCGCTTTCGCCTCCCGCCTCCGCCTCCGCCTCCCTCCCTCCCTCCCCCCTCCCTCCCCCTCCCTCCCCTCCCCTCCCTCCCCTCCTCCCTCCCCCTCCCTCCCCCTCCCGCCTCCTCCCTTCCCCCCCCCCCCCCCCTCCCCCCCCCACAATTACTCAATATGAAAAATACTCTCCCTCTTCTCCTGATGACGGTTTGAAAGTATTAGCCCCCCCCCCCCCGCGTACGGTTTTTTTACACACAGGATTCCCCGGAGTTGGGTTTTCGCATGCATTTTTTCCAAAATGCTGCTCTCGCTGAGGCGCCGGCCTCATTTTTGGGCCCCGCTCGTTCCGAATCGTGCTCCCGCTGCAGCGCTGGCCTCATTTCCGTGCTTCCGCTCGTTCCGAATCGTGCTCCCGCTGCAGCGCTGGCGTCATTTCCGCGCTTCCGCTCGTTCCGACTCGTGCTCCCGCTGCAGCGCTGGCGTCATTCCCCGTGCCATGCCACGGCATGCAATGCAATGCCGAATCGTGCTCCCGCTGCAGCGCTGGCGTCATTTCCGTGCTTCCGCTCGTTCCGAATCCTGCTCCCGCTGCAGCGCTGGCCTCATTTCCGCGCTTCCGCTCGTTCCGAATCGTGCTCCCGCTGCAGCGCTGGCGTCATTCCCCGTGCCATGCCACGGCATGCAATGCAATGCTAGGTTGCGTTCCGCTGCGCGATGCCATGCCTTCAGCTGAAGCTGTGATATGCAGTGCTTAAGTGCCACGTCGTGCTATGCCATGCTACGCTTTGATCTGCAACGCCATGCTCTGCAATGTTATGTTCGGGGCCGCTGTGCGATGCCATTATTTGCGTTGCAAAGCCTTGTGATGCAATTCTTCACGACGCCACGCCACGCCATGCTGTGACATAGTACGCTTTGCGGTGCTCTTCTACGCCATGCCATGCCGTGCTCTACAATGCATCGCGTACCCTTTCGGGATCATTGCCCTGCTCGACACCCGACTGTGCGAGTAGAGAGGGGATCTACGCCATGGTAAGGGATGGGAGGGAGGGGCAGGATGTCAGATATAACGCGAGCGCACCTAGCTTGCCTCCCTCCCCCTCCCTCCCCCCCGCCTCCCTCCCTTCCCTCCCTCCCACTCCCTCCCTCCCTCCCTCCCCAGAGGCTCCTCCGGCGCCCCCGCGCCAGCTCGGCGCGCCCCCCGGTGCGGCAGCGCGCGCTCCGGGCTGCCGCGGCGGGGGCTGGCAGGGGTGCTTTTTGCTTTGCTTGCGGCTGCGCGGGGCCGCGCCGAGGGCGCGGCGCTGCCTGCGCTAACCCGGCAAAGCTCCCTCGCGCGAGGCGGCTAGACCGCGCGCACGAATCCGAGGATCCCCCATATACTTTCTCACATGTTCTCGGTGCTCGTCCTCCCCCCGCTTCCCCACATTTCCCCATATCTTCCTGGAGGTCGAAGCTTCACTGTGTCTGTGGTGTTCTTTCGCCTCCTGAGTCGACGATGTCAGAATGCGATCGGCTCAGGACACGAGCCCTCCGCCCCAAGAGTCGGGAGCGGCCAAGAGGGGGGTGTCCAAGAGGGGGGGGTGCAAATCATGACCGGCGGCATGTGCGCGGCCCAGCGGGGGGGCCAGGGACGTAATAGAATAAGAAGAGGCGCCACGAAATCTGGGGAGATATCATGGCCCCCGCCATGATATTCACCCCCCCTAATCATCACCCCCCTCTCTTCCGCCCCCGAAAGAGGGCCCCCGACACCGCCAGCAGGCTCCCAAGAGGCCCCAAGAGGCCCCAGAACGGCACCTGGGCCCCAAAAGGCCTCAACCCAGCCTCCAAGAGGCTCCCGGGAGGCCTCCCAAGAGACCCCCCCCCAACAGGCGGCCACGAGGACACTGACCCACAAGCCCTGGCACGTCGGCGGGCCAGGCCCACGGCCCGTCAGGCACGCTCCGAGGATCCTGGAGCATCCCGCGGCCCTCCCTTCTGCAGCCCTGACGGCACGGCGGCAAATCTGGGAAAGGCCTGGAAGTCCTGGAGCGCATGACCAACGTAACCTCCTGTTCGTCTGAAACAGGCACATGACAAAAAGGCGGGCTCCTGCCGAAGCCTGCGTCCCGCAGCCTCGCCCGTGCGCGGTCCAGCTCCTGCCAGAAGAGCTCCTGCAGCCGCTCGCCCCGGGCCCGCAGCTCCTCCCGCAGGTGGTCCTCGATGGGGCAGCGATCTGCGGCCATCGTGCCATCGTGCCGCCATAAGAACAAAGAACAACTGATGAAGGGGCTTCTCTGGACACGGCGAGCCCAGGCAGCGAGTAAGGCCCGACCCGGACTCGGACCTCGAGCTCGAAAGACTCGCCCTCTGAGCCCATCCCCCCACAAGCTCGAGGAACGTACTAACCCAGACCCGACGTCATGTTCTTTTCACGACGCGGACTCCCAGGTCTCCCGACCCCTTCCCCAAGACTGGCTTTCCATCCTGAGTCGTTTCATGATGGTCCCAGGGCCCGGCGAGGGCCCTCCGAGGCCGAAAAGAGCGAAAAGCCGCACGTCGTGACTGCTCTGTGACAACTCATGGGAGCCTCCCGCGCCATCTGATTGGCCCTTACGAACCGACGCTGCTTGACGCTAGGCTAGTCGACGCGTAGTCGGCGCGTCCTCATCGACTACCAGACGCTACCGCACGCGAGTGCACTCGAAAGACGGCCTCATCACGAGTACACACAGGACCCCCATGAACTGCTACCGAAGGACTGTTTATGTGTGGGGGGATGGAATAGCCTACACCCTGCGAAATGCTTAAGAAATCATGGGTTAAGAAATTCATAGCCTCAGATCTTGAATAAAAACCCAACATTTCTATTAAAACTTAGGATTTACATTGAAACGTTAAGAATAATCGAGACTCCGGCCGAAAACTCAAGTTTTCTTAAGCATCGCCTAAGGTGTATGGGCCAAACCACCCCCGGTTAACACCCTGCTCTCCTGCAGCCAGCAGCAAACACCAGCAAGAGGAACGAGCAAGGCCACAGAAGGGCAGGGCCCAAGACGGAGCCGGCGGGCCGGCGGGACCCCCCGAAACCCTGCCTGGGACACCGTCGGAAAACAGACCTGCGCCAAGAACGAGGGGTAAACGACATGCTTCGTCACGCAAGGCTCTGATGTCTGAACCGCCGTACTTTGGGCGGCTTCGCAGGGAGGGCGGAAACGTCCGACCTGCGGATCAAGCTCCACCCCGCTTTCTCCAAGGCGGGAACTTCCGCTCTACGTTTCCGCACGGGCTGGGGTGAATTTCCGACACGCTTGCAAGTCGGAAAATACGCCCAAATACGGCGGATCCGAAGTCAGAGGGAGTCTGGGAACGCCGCCCGGAGCCCCCCCCCGACCGACCCCTCAGCAATCCTGGCCACGGGAGGGGGAGGAGCAGGAGGAGGAGGAAGAAGAGGAGGAGGAGGAGGAGGAGGAGGAGGAGGAAAAGGAGGAGGAGGAGAAGGAGGGGGAGGAGGAGGAGGAGGAGGAGGAGGAGGAGGAGGAGGAGGAGGAGGAGGAGGAAAAGGAGGAGGAGGAGGAGGAGGAGGAGGACAAGCTAGGTGCGCTCGCGTCATATCTGACGTCCTACCCCTCCTTCCCATCCCTTACCATGGCGCAGATTTTCTCTATCCGCGGACGCGTGTCGTAGCGGACCTGTGGCTCCGCGCGCGCGTGCGTAGTGGGTGGTGGTGCACGTGCGTGCGTGCGTGCGTGTGCGTGGTTGTCGTGGTGGTGGTGGTGGTGGTGGTGGTGGTGGTGGTGGTGGTGGTGGTGGTGAATGTGTGGTGTGTGCTGGTGGAGGGTGGTGCTGTGGTGTGGTGTTGGTAATGGTGCTGTGGTGTTGTGGTGGTGGTGGTGGTGGTGGTGGTGTGTGGTGGCGGTGCGGCGCGGTGGTGGCGGGCGGATGGGCGCGCGAGAAAAGGCCCGCGCTGGGGCGAGAACGCCATCCTGAACGACGGAGGCCAAACACCGATCCGAAAATGAGGCCCACGCTGCAGCGGGAGCACGATTCGGAACGATTCGGGAGCAGAAATGAGGCCGGCGCCTCAACGAGAGCAGCATTTTGGGAAAAAATGACGCTGGCGCCTCAGCGAGAGTCGTTTCCCGGGATTTCCCGGGCATCCTGTGTGTAAAAAACAGTACGCGGAGGGTGCGCGGCCATCACCCGGACGCCATCAGGGGAAGAGGGAGAGTATTTTCATATTGAGTAATTGTGGAGGTGGGAGGAGGGAGGAGGAGGAGGAGGAGGAGGAGGAGGAGGAGGAGGAGGAGGAGGAGGAGGAGGAGGAGGAGGAGGAGGAGGAGGAGGAGGAGGAGGAGGAGGAGGAGGAGGAGGGAGGAGGAGGAGGAGAGAAAGAGGAAGGAGGAGAGGAGGAGGAGGAGGAGGAGGAGGAGGAGGAGGAGTGGGACCAGTGTAAACCCAAGAGTCATCAACGATGTTGGAACTAACCCTCTCCATACGCCCCTGCAACGGTTCATTTCCATTGAGGGAACTGCCTCGTTGGAAGACAACCGTCTGACGATCTGGACGCATCCTTGAAGAACCTGAAGCCTGGTCCTCGGGACTTCAACGCCACGGATCAACCTCATTACTGCGTTTTCACGATCCGGAATCGTGACAGAACGCCATTTTGGGACTTCAACACCGCGAATCCACATTATTGTTGCACCCGCATAATCCGGAACACTTCCAAAACAACAGTTCTGCTACGTTGATCACGGGAATCCGTAGAACTCTTGCAAATGTTTAAGAAGAATGCGCGCGGCGCAAAGGCGAGACCACATTTTGAAAAGGAACCGCCCTCGTGAAGAAACCATGGCAACATTTTACAGGCGCTAAAGCGAGGACCACATTTTGAAAAGGAGCCGCCATCAATTCGCGAACGTCTTGCAATTTGTTTAACGAAGGTGGCGGCGCTGAGGCGAGAACCACATTTTACATGTTGAAAAGGAGCCGCCTTCAATCCGTGGAGCTCTTGCAAATGTTTGAAACGAATGTGCGCGGCGCTAAGGCGAGAACCACATCTTGAAAACGGCCCGCCTCAATCCGTGAAGCTCTTGCAAATGTTTAAAACGAATGTGCGCGGCGCGAAGGCGAGAGCCACATGTTCAAAACGACCTGCCCTCCATCTGTGAAACTGTTGCCACTTTTGAAGCTTCAGAATCATAGATGGTGAGGAAGTCTCAGGCGAAACGCCCAGCCCGCCCTAAAAACCGGCCTCGGGGTGGGACAGGGTGAAGCTATCTATAAGGAAAACGACAGGAGGAGGAGGAGGAGGAGGAGGAGGAGGAGGAGGAGGAGGAGGAGGAGGAGGCGTGGGAGGAGGACAAGGAGGATTTTTAAACCCGCGTGCTCCCGCCCGTGAGTGGGTGCCCCTGGTCTCGGCACCCCGCGGGAGGACAAGGAGGATGAGGAGGGGGAGGAGGAACTGCAGGAGGGGGAGGAGGGGGAGCAGGAAGAACAACAAAAAAACCGCCCCCCGACGCTGCTCCTGCGGGTCCCCGGCGGCGGGCAGGGTGCCAGTGCCCGCCGCCGGTGCGGCCGGCGGCTCCCAGCAGGCGGTGCTGGGCAGCGTCGAGGGCGCGCTGCACGGCCCCGAGCCGGCGGTGCTGGGCAGCGTCGGGGAGGGCGCGCGGCACTCCGCGCCCTCGGGCGGGGCTCAAGCTCTTCGCAGCGCGCGTCGGCGCCCGCGCGCTCCGCGGCGGCGGCTTCCGCCACGTGGGCCCCTTTCCCCCCCCGATTCCTCCCTCGCCGCCGGACAGCTTGGCGCCTGCCGGCTCCCGGCCCGCCCGAGCGCGCGTGCGGACTGCCTCTGCCGCGCTGCGGCGTGAGAGAGTGTTTGGCGCCCGCACGTGCTTGTCCATCGCGGCCCCTCGATGCGGGCGGGTGATCTGTCGATGGAGCTGAGCGGGGTAGACACAAACCGGGCTAACGCACGTCCTGAGGATCCTCGAAAAGGGGAGGGAGATGGGGGAGAATCGTACACCTTTTGTATTTTTTTCGGGGATGCGTCAAACTCGGGCACGGGGGACTCGGTTTGGCCTGACACGGCCATCACGAAAATGACGCAACGCAGTCTGAAATTTGTCGCGAGCTCCCGCTGCAAGCATCCCGCGAAAACTGGGCCGTCAAAATCCAAGACGGGCTCGTCAAAAAGGTCGGCAAACCCGAGTTTTGGCGCACTCGAGTCTTACGTTCCCCGACTGTTGCCTCCTCCTCCTCCTCTTCCTCCTCCTCTTCCCCTCCTCCTCCTCCTCCTCCTCCTCCTCCTCTTCCTCCTCCTCCTCCTCCTCCTCCTCCTCCTCCTCCTCCTCCTCCTCCTCCTCCTCCAGTCGCATCACCCATCGCATTTTAACTAGTGCTTCAAGGTTGCGCCGGGGCGAACACAGCGGCGTAAGCCGCCACCGAGTTGTCCTTGCCATGAGCAGGAAAGCGGCAGCTCCTCCCGTCATATCTTTTTCTCGCTCCTTCTAGGTTGCACCGAGACACGCACGGTGGCACCAGCCGCCGCCGAGCTGTCCTTGCCATGAGCAAGATCGCGGCAACAACTCCCGTCCCATCCTTTCTCCCGCTTTCTAGATTGCGCCGAGACGCGCACGGCAGCGTACGTTGCCAACGAGCTACCCTTGCCATGAGCAGCAACACGGCGGCATCTCCCTCCCCTCCCTTCCCGCGGTTTCTAGGCTTTGCTGAAACGCACACGGCGGCGTCAACCGCAACCGAACTGCCCCGGCCACAAGCAAGAACATGGCAAGCGCCGACGACGGCGGGTCAGGGACCTCAGGGCCCGTGCATATGTCATGGAATTGGTGCGCCGCACCTTCTCCGTGACATTAGAAGTAGAGCCCCCCGCGGGTGCATCGCGCCCAGAGCAGAAGCGCCCTGATGTTCGCTGCGAGCCGTTCGGCCCTCAGAGGTGGATGCCTGGTCAAGGCCATCCACCCGGGGACCTTCCATCCCTTAAGGAAGCGTATCGTCTCAAAATCCTCCTCCTCCTCCTCCTCCTCCTCCTCCTCCTCCTCCTCTCCTCCTCCTCCTCCTCCTCCTCCTCCTCCTCCTTCTCCTCCTTCAGGTTCCCTCTGGTGCACAGAAGGCGTGCCTTTCTCCCCGCCCCCCACGACGTCGTGATTTTTGTTCATCACCTGGACCCCAGAGTGGTCCTGCTTTTCATCCCGAGTCGTCCTTTGATGGCCCCGAAGGTCGGTTAAGGGCCCCCAGAGACTAAAAGATATAGAGAAAACCTTCCATCGAGATTTGTTCATGACCCGAAGGGGTCTGGGTTTACCTCGGCGGCGAGCCCAGGGGGAAGTGAGAAAAGGGCGGGCCTTCTCAGAAGGCTCGAACTTCCCTGGCCTCCTGAGAAGTTCTCCAAGCCTTCCCCGAAGACGCAGAAACAACTTCTCAGAAGGCCCGAGGGCTACGGAGAAGTCCCGCCACCTTCTGGGCCTTTTCCTTCTCACTCCCCCCCCTCCCTCGGCGCAGCTGAACGGTGTTCTGGCGATCTCGTGGGCCGTTCTCGCTCTGGCTTCGTTGTGCCGTCAACTCGAAGAACAAAGAACAACATACATTTAAACTCTTGGAGATTCCTTCCTGGCGCCCATGGCGCAGAGCGCCGACTCGACAAATCCGCGCGGGAGCGCTCGCCGCCTCGGATCGCCCCTCCCGTTGCGCAGCGCCCGACGCCCGCCTCGGCGCGCGACCGCGGGGCGGCCCAGGAGCCGGGCAGCTCGGGGGCCTCTCGGGGGCTCCAGGAGGGGGCGCGGAGGGGCCTCTGCGGGTTTGCGCCCCCTGGGCTCGGATACCCCGGGAGGGGGGGGGGCCAGCTGTAGGGTCAGGGCAGGGGGCCCCGCCTGAGGCTGAGGGCTCTCGTCTCCACGGCTTGGGCTCTCCTCGAAGTGCTGGCCAGAAAAAACCCTAGGGAAGAGGTCCGCGGAGTCGCGGAGCAGCCGTACCTCCCTGACTTCGGGTCCGCCGTACTTTGGGCCACTTCGTGATTCATCAGGGCGGAAATGTCCGCCCTGCTGTTCAAGTTCCTCAAATGACGATTTCCGCCCTACGTTGCCGTCGCTGCTTTCCGCCATGCCTTTGCAATGTATCCGCCCTACTTCTTTATTTCCGACAAGTTATAAGTCGGATGATCAACCACAGTACGGCGGATCCGAAGTCAGGGATAAGCGACTCCTTGGAAACTAGCGACCGAGCCGAACACATCGCACATACATAATTAAGACATATATGCTTATATATATGTGTGTATATAGGACTGTATATATACATATAAGTGTATCTATACACCTATACATTCCCAAGCGATATTACCAGAAAAGCCCGCCAGCTAACAGATACGTAAGACTTCTGAGCGCGCGCGTCTCCCATGGGAGGGCGACGCGCGCATCGTCGAAATCTGCCTGGGTGATGTAGACAAGACTCCTGCGCCATGTAGTTTTACAGCGTGGACCCCCCAGAAGTCCCTGGGGACCCGCATCCTATCCCGCATCGCTTCTTGACAGCCGCGGGGGTCCTGCGAAGGCCGCCGGTTGTTCAGCCAGTGGTTTTCAGCAGGGAACCCACACAGGACGTACCCAACATCGTACACCCTGCGAAATGTTTAAGAAATCATGGGTTAAGAAATTCATGCTTTCAGAAATTGAATAAAACCCAGATCTTCTATCAAAATCTTGGGATTTACATTGAAAAGTTAAGAACAATCGAGACTCTGGACGAAAACTTAGGTTTTCTTAAGCATCGCCTAAGGTGTACATGAACACGGCCCACACTAATCCGCGAGACTGGCCGCAAAATACGAGCGTTGGCAATGCGGACTCTCGGAACCAACGTGGGTTCATGTACGTGAACGTGCTTTTTTCGCTATTCGAGCCATTGGGTCATTGAAACAAGCGGCGCCCCAGATGATGCCGAGACAAATAATGGTTTCGTATCTTTCGTCGGTGTCCGCAGACCGCGCCGCGCGCGCCTCTGGACATGGAAATTGGCGGGTAGGGTTGGGGGTGGTAAAACTTGGTTTGAGTTTCGCTGAAGGATGTGGGACCATCCAACATGCGTGGCGAGGAAACAAACTGGCCCCACGCGAGATGGCACAGCGACCTTACGCCGCGGCTGATGCGGGCCGCCAGCGCGGCACGCCACATTGGAAGCGAGGGCGCTTACGCGCGACCGTACGCGAGTAGCTTACGCGCACGCGCCAGCGTCGGCGCAATCAACCTCGTTGTCTTCCGTCGTTCACACAGATCCGCGGCAGAAAACTTTGGAGGCGGCTGGGGGTCTGAACTGGTTGGGGCCCTAGGAAGGTTAAGAAATTGAGATGGAGCCAAAGCCGCTCTAGTCGGTCCCCGGACCCCTCCAGAGGCCCACCTGGTGCAACCCCGGATCCGTTTCCGACGGCCCTGGGACCCGAAATCGGCCCCCAGAGAGAGAATAAAAACAACAAAACTTTCCCGAACCCAGCACCTCGCGCCTGCCCGCCCTTCCTGCTGGCCAGGACTATCGCTGGGCCACCTCAGGCCCCCGGCCGACTCTGAGGGAAGACGGCCCTGGGGAAGCGGTCGAGCACTCTTGGGGCCGCGACTTGCACGAGAACCGCACCAGCGGACGCCAGGGAAGGGCTGCAGCGGGGCCCAGGGGGGTGGGGCCCCAAGGACGGCGTGGCCTCAGTGGGACGGCTCAGCCTTCGGAGGCTTCCAAGGGGAAAGCGTCCGGGAAGGGGGCCCGCAAATCATGGCCCGAGGCACGCGCGCGGCCAGGGGGGGCCAGAAGACGCGTCAAAGTAAGAGAAGAGGCGCCGTGAAATCTGAGGGGTTTCCGTGGCCCCCGCCGTGACCTGTGATCATCACCCCCCTCTTGGCCGCCCCCGGAGGAGGAGGGAGGGGAAGGGAAGAGGAGGGAGGAAGAGGGAGGAGGAGGGAGGAGGGATGGGGAGGGAGGGAGGAGGGAGAAGGGAGGCGAAGGGAGGAGGGAGGAAGAGGGAGGAGGAGGGAGGGAGGGATGGGGAGGGAGGGAAGGGGGAGAAGCTCGGAATCCACCTCCCGTTCTGCGTGGCGGCGCCCACCCGGGGGGTGGCGCGAGGGGCGGGGGCACGGCCCCTGAACGCAGAGGGTCTCTCTGCCGCCCGCCCCAGGCCTTCCAGGCAGCCTTCTGTCGGAGGCCTCCCGGGGCCCTTCGCGAGGGCCCTGCGCCTGCCACAAACAGAGAGCCTTCCGCGTTCTTCGAAGGCTGCTCCCCTCGCGCCGCTCCCGCCATGCCAGACCTCCGGCGTCTCGACGTCCTGCGGGCCCTTTCTCTGGGACCGGCTCGTTCTCATCCCGAGCGGTCTCGGACGGTTCCAGGGCCCTGCAGGGGGCCGTCGTAAGTTTTTGTATGACCCGATTGGGGTCCAGATTCGTGGGCGCCGTGGATGCCGCCAATCGTCGACTCCGAAGGCCGAAGGGTGTGGTTTGCGAAGGGTGTGGCTTGCAACCTGCACCCGGGGAGGCGGGCGAGGACCTCGACACAGCTCTCCGCCGCGCCCCGAGGAGGCCCGACGAGGTCAACTCTGCGCCCGCCAAGCCCCAGCCGACGCAGATCGCAAACCGCACGGAAGAGACCCTAGGTTTGTGGATGCCATGACAATGAACACTCTAACAATCCTATCATTGAATTGAACATGCGTTTGAAATGTCGGAAACATGTTCTAAACATGTGTTGAACATGTTTTTGACATATTTTAACACATGTTTTAGGCATCTGGAAAGGACTTGGCAACATGCTTCCTCTCCATTGATCGCCCTCCACAACCCCAGGCAAGAGTGACCTTTGGTGCGCGGACGAAGAGGGAAGAAGGTGGCCAAATCCAAGCAAGCAAACAGCCGCTGACGCATCGCGCTCAGCGATCGGGAGGGACCCTGGTGAGCCCGCACCAAAGGTCACTCTGGCCAAGGCTCACTCTCCTTACGCGTAGTCGACACCCTCTGTAGATCGGGGGCGGCCAAGAGGGGGGGCGCGCACATCACGGCCAGCGGCATGTGCGCGGCTAAGGGGGGGAGGAAAGGCCAGGGACGCATTGAACTAAGAAGAGGCGCCATGACACATGTGGAAATACCATAGCTCCCGCCATGATCTCCACCCCCCTCCAGTCATCCTTCATCATGTGTTTGATATCTATGGCTGCCTCTGCGTCTAAGAGTTTGGCTTGCTGTGTCCTCAGCAGCTTGCGCGCTTTCTTTACGTCGCCCCCCAGGCGGGTTAGCTCTTCTCTGCGCCGCGCCTCGACATCCCTCACCCCCCTCCTGGCCGCCCCCGAGTAGTCGCCGAGCCAAGCTCGGGGCCCAGTCCCCCAGGGAGCCATCTCAGGACCGCCCGCGCCTTCTTCGCGCGCTCCTGCGACTCCTGCCGCCGCGGGGGCGCCACTGGCTCCCGGGGCTGCGGGGCCCAGCTGGCCCTCAGGGTCCTGGCGGCAGGGCTCGAACTGATCAGTGCTTTCCGCATTCGTTTCGTTTTCGTTTCCCCTCGCGCTGTCTTCGTGACGCCTTTGCTGCAGAAAGACACGAAAACGAAAGCGGTCCACGGAATGGCCAAACCACTGATGAAGAAAAAACCGCGTAAACATAGACCTTTGGAGCTCCGCGCGGATTTCTTGGATCGGCACTGGACCCGCCTCGGGCGCAGCCCATGGCGCGCTCCGGTCGCCAGGGGGGCCGATCCAGGAAATCTGCGCGGAGGTCCAAAAGTTCACATGTATGCCGTTCTTTGTTCTTCGCCGTTGCTGCACAACAAAGCGAAAACGAAAACAGCCCACGAGATCGCCCAACCACCGTTCATCTGCGGCGAGCGGGGGGGGAAGGTGAGAAGGAGAAGGCCTTCTCAGAAGCCAGCGGGGCGTCTCGGAAGCCCCCCAGCCTTCCGAGAAGTCTTCGGTGCCCTCGCGAGAGGCTCGGCACACTTCTCGGACGCCCTGCGGGGACCTCTTGAGCCCTCTGAACCAGGCCTCCTCCCTCTCCCTTCCCCCTCCCTCGCTCGCCGCCGGCCGGCCCGCGCCCTGCCTGGTGGGCGTCGCCACGAAGGAGGCCAGGTGGAGGCCCACCGCCGGTGCGCAGACCGCGGCCCTCGCCGGGGAGGGCGCCGAGGCCGCCGCCGCGGCGAGGCCCTGGGCCTGCGCACCGCAGGCGGCGGGTCGCTCGCCGCCCGCGGCGCCCCGGCTCTCGCACGGCAGGCGCCGGCTCGGCGGCGGCGCGGGGCTCCGCGGCAGGACCTCCACCCGCACGGGCACGCCGCGGGCGCCGGCGCGCTGAGGCTCGGCGCTCTGCTGGCGCAGGGCCGCCCGGGCCACCGAGGTGGCCCTGCGCTCGGGGAGGCCCAGCGCGGGCACGCTGGCGCGGCGCTGGAGGGGGAGGCCGAGCTGGCCCGAGCTCGCAGACCTCTGCATCGGCGGCCCTGCCGCCGCGCCCTGGGGCTGGGGCCCACCCCAGGGCTCTGGCCCGGGCACCGCCAGCGCAGCGGCCGCGGGGGCGGCCGGGAGCTCTGGCGGCCACGGCGGCGGCTGCGGCCTGGCGGGGGCAGGCGGCGTGGTGTTCGCCGCGCTGGCGGGCGGCGCGGCCGCCCTCGCCGTGCGCAGCGTCCGCTGCGGGCTCGAGGCGGCGGAGGCGGTTGGCGTCGGGAGCGCCGCGCCCACGGGCGCCGTGCACGGCCGGGGCAGCTGCAGACCGGTGAGCGGGGCGCCCGCAGCGAGGGCCGCGGCGGCGAGTGCCGAGGCGGAGCCGCCGGGCGCGCCCGAGGGATCTGGGGCCCGCTGCGGGAAGCAGGCGCCGCAGGGCTGCGCCAGGCGCACGGGACCGCCCGCTGCGGCGGGGCCGCACTCGCGGGCCAGAGCGCCCGGGCGGCAGGGAGCCTGCTGCAGCGAGCACGCGGCCAGGGGGCCGCCCGCCGAGCCCAGGGCATGGCTGGCCCCTGCCGTCAGCGCTGGCGCCGCGAAGCACGCCGCCGGCCCCCTGGGCGGCGCGAGCAGCAGGGGCTGGACGAGGGCGCCCTGGGAGGCCTCGCACGGCTGCGCCGCGGGCTGCCCCAGCGCCGGCACGGTGAGCAGGCTGGGCGCACGCAGTGCTCCTCCTGGCACGGCAGTCGCCGGGGGCAGGGCGTCGCGGGCGCCCAGCAGGTCGGCGTCCCCGCCCCCACGCCGCTGGCGGTCCACGTCGCGGGAGAGCTCCAGGGCCTTCACCGACTGCGCCAGGCTGCGCCGCGTGGCGAGCAGGCCCCCCTGGCCGCCGTCGTCCTCGCCGTCGCCGCCCGCCCGCGAGTGCCCAGTGCCGTCGCCCTCCACGTAGCGGTAGCGCGGCGGCGTATCCGGCATGCGCCGGCGGAGGCAAGAGGGGTGGATGGCCCAGGGGCGGCATTGCACGCCTTCGCCGGGGAGCCTCGCCGAAGGCGTGGCAAGTCGGAGCCCCTGGCTCCTATAGGGCCCCCGGCCACGCGAGAAGCTGCGTGGGCCTCCTCCGAAGCCACACAGGACTTCTCAGAGGGCCGTAATGCCTCTGAGATGCCCCACCGCCTGCTGAGAAGGCCTGCCCTGACTTCGGATCCGCCCTGTTCTGGCGGATAGACACTGACTTGTAATTGTGTCGGACAGGCACCCCAACCCGTGCGAAAACGTGGGGCGAGAGTTCCCGCCTCGGAGAAAGCAAGACAACTGTTTCCGCACAAGCACGGCCGAGACAGCGACGGCAACGTAGGGCGGACATTGGCGTCCACGGAGCCTGGACAGCAGGTCGGAGGTCTCCGCCCAAAGTACGGCGGATCCGAGGCCAGGGCGGCCCCCGCTCACCGCGCGTCGCGCCCACCAGCCCGAGGCCTCCGAGGCCCGACCGCTCCCCCAGGGGGTGAGCTCTTCGGGAGCGGCCAAGAGGGGGCGGTGTCCAAGAGGGGGGGGTGCAACTCATGACCGTCGGCGCGTGCGCGGCCCAGCGGGGGGGCCAGGGACGCGACGAAATGGGAGGAGGCGCCATGCAATCTGGGAGAATATCATGGCCCCCGTCATGATATCCCCCCCCCCCCCCCTAGTCATCACCCCCCTCTTTGCCGCCCCCGAGCTCTTCGTCCCGGATGTGGATTCTCGGTGGCCCCGGGGCCGAGGACGAGCCTCAGAGGGCCGAACCCGAGAGAAACAAGGCGGGCAGAAGAGAGCGTCGGAGATCTGGGTGCGGTGCTTCCCCCGTCGGGTCGGACCCAAGTGATGGGGCGCAGAGACACGCAACCAAGTAGACAGAAGCGGCAGGATTCCCTCTGCTGTTCCATATCTTCTGGAGCTTTGTCTGCCCCCCCTCTTCCCAGATTTTCCCATATCTTCCTTGGGATCGGCGATTCATTTTGTCTGCGTGTTTTCCCCTCCTGAGAAGGGGGGTGTCAGTCAAAGCGGTGGTTCAGCGACTCGGCTCACGCAGCTGATGCTCCCAGCGCCTGCCGGCGCCGGGAGGCGCCCATGCATCGAGGAAGGCTCACAGCGGCAAGGCTGAAACCCGCTGCATGCAACAGACTTCGCCCCCGCCCGCCCTTCCCCTTCCCCCCCCCTTTTCTCGTCCGACCTGCACCCCCTGGGCCTCTGCGGTCTCTCTGGCAGTCTGGGGGGCCTCGTGGGCCGTCTTGAGGCATCTTGGGAGCCTTGGGACGTCTTGCCCGCAGTCAAGACCAAAATGCGACTGCGCGCTGTCCCAGGGGATTAAGGCGATATGTGCCTCGTGGGGTCTTCTTGGAGCCCTCTTGGGGCGCCTTGGGAGACTCACCGGGCCGTCTTTTTGGGCCCCTCTGGGCTACCCTGACTTCGGATCAGCCGTACTTGGGGCGATTTCGCAGGTATGGCGGAAATGTCCGACATGCTGTTCAGGCTCCGTTGACGCCAATTTCCGCCCTACGTTGCCGTCGCTGTCTCGGCCATACCTTTGCGGAAAGATCCACCCCACTTTCTCCGAGGCGGGAACTTCAGCCCTACGTTTTCGCACGGGTTGGGTGCGTGTCCGACACAATTGCAAGTCGGAAATCCGCCCATGTACGGCGGATCCGAAATCAGGGCGGGCCTTCTCAGAAGGCGGTGGGGCATCTCAGAGGCATTACGGCCCTCTGCGAGGTCCCCTGTGGCTTCGGAGGAGGCCCACGCAGCTTCTCTCGTGGCCGGGGGCCCTAATTATGTGAGCCAGGGGCTCCGATCTGCCACGCCTTCGGCGAGGCTCCCCGGCGAAGGCGTGCGATGCCGCCAAAATACGGCAGATCCGAAGTCAGGGTACGGTTAGCCGTGCGGCATGGCCGGAAAGCGCCCCCCGCCAGCGAACCGATACCCTTAGTATTACGGAGCGCGCGCGTCGGCCCGGGGGGGGGGGCGACGCATGCACGCACAGCGTAAGCGTGCTCGGGTGATGCCGACCAGACTCCGACGCCGTGGCGTTTTGCCAACGTGGATCCCGCCGAGGTCCTGAACTCGGGCGATGTTCGCCTCTTGTACAGAGACAAGCAATGCCATAAACATAACATCTCAGAGGTCCGCGCGAATTTCTCGGATGGGCGCTGGACCCCCTCCCCGGCGCGCGGAGCGCGCCGGGGGCGGCGCTGGAGGCACCGCCAAGGGGGGTCCAGCGCCGATCCGAGACATCCGCGCGGACCTCAGAGTTTTCATGTTCACGCCACTGTTTGTACTTGGATGGGGCGCATTGGGAGCCTGTGGCCCAGTCTCGAGTCCTCCCCGGGGCCTTCTTTTCGGGCCCTGCTGGGCAATCCGCACCCCGCTGCTGCCGCCGAGATGGGGCCGGCCGCCTCACCTCGGGCGTTCTGCTCAATGGGGGGGAGCGATCCATGGGGGAGAGGGGGGAAACGTGCACCCTTTGCGTGCCCCTTGGGTTGTGGATGCCACGACAATGGACACCCTAACAGTCCTATCATTGAATTTAACATGTGTTTGAAATGTCGGAAACATGTTCTAAACATGTTCTAAACATGGTTTAAACATGTTTGAAGCATGTTTAACACATGTTACAGACATCTGGAAATGATTTGGCAACATGCTTCCTCTCCATTAATCGTCTTCCACAACCCTTGGGGGCTCCTTGAGGACCCTTTCGGGGCACAAAAGTTGCACCTTCCTTCACCCCCAATTTGCACAAAGGGGACATGGAATGACAGAAACATGCACGTACGGAGGTCCGCGCGAATTTCCCTGGATCGGCGCTGGACCCTTCCTCCCTGGACCTCGGACACTTTTTGCTGATGTCATTGTTTGTTCCCCCATATTCGGTGGCGAGCGAAGGAACAGAGGAGGAGGCCTTCTCGGAAGGCGGCCGGACTTCTCGCAAAAAGCCCTGCAGCCCTCTGAGAAGTTTCCTGTGCCACGGGGGACGAGCTTAGAACACTTCTCAGAAAAGCGTGAGAGGACTTCCGAGCCTTCTGGGAAGGCCCGCCCCCTCCCACTTCCCCAGGCTCGCCGCCGACATCGGGAACGGCGAGAAGGTCTGGTTCAAGACTGCTGATTTCGACGGCTGCTGGGGCGCCTCAGGTCGAGCTGGGGCCTCAGGTCGGGCTGGGGCCTAGCGAAACTGGCCTTGTCCAACGAACCCTTCTGGCAGCCTCCGACGACATTCATCGCCCCTCCCTGACTAGAGGAACAAAAACTGCACAAACATACACTTTCGCCGGTCCGCACAGATCTCTTGGATCCGCGCCGGACACCCCTCCGTGGCGCGCGGAGCGCGCCAGTGGCGGCGCCGGGGGCGCCGCCCAAGGGCCCAGCGCGGATCCAACTCTGCGCGGAGCGCCCAAAATTTATGTTTACAGTCGGACTTGATTGGACAGGACACGCGAGAGGACACAAGACCCTTCCGAGTGCCACATTGCCATAGGAATGTAGGAGGCATAGGTCGCGAGACACAGGACACAAGGGTACCCTTGATTTGGCAGGACCGACCTACTAATCAGTGCCGACTGAATGCCGATTTGTTTTTCGACTTTTACGCAACGCCCGACCACCCCGCCGGCGCCACGCGCTCGGCGCGCGGCCGGCGGCCCATGCGTGCCGCGCCCTGCAGGGCGGGCGCCGCGCGCTGCAGGGCGGGCGCCGCCGCGCGCGGGGGCGGCCACGCGCGGGGGCGGCCCCGCGGCCCGCGGCTGGGCAAGCGGCCCGCTCGGTCCACGTAGAGGGGCCCAGCGACACAACACACACACATGTGTATGTGTATATATATATATATATATACACATGGGTACGGGGGCCTTCTCCCAGCTGCCTCGGGTCGCCATAGTAGCTCCGGGCTCCCCGGGGACCCTCTCCAGCGACCTCAGAGCCGCCCAGACGGCCTCGAGTGGGGTGCCACAGGGCGCCAGAAGGCTTCATCATGTCCCGCGGGGCTTCCAGGCAACACTAGATAGCTTCAACACGGCCCAGGAGAATTCGACTATCGCCCCCCAAAGGGCCCCAACAGGCAAAAACCCTTGATTCACCATAGGTTTTCCGATGTTTCTGGGAGTCTCAATTTTCGAGCTTCCGACGCCCCCCGACGGCCCAAAAGGCCTCCATGACCGCCCCAAGACGGCCCAAGAGACCCCCAAGACCGCCCCAAGACGGGCCGAGGGACCCAAGACGGTCCCAAGAGGGGCCCATGACGCCCAAGAAGACCCGCCCAGACGGCCTTAGTGGCGTCACAATGACACTAGAAGGCTGCGAGATGTCCCGCGGGCTTCCGGGCAGCCCCAGGATCGAATTGTCCTTTCGGTCTCCTGTTGGTGGGCCCCTCTTGGGACCGTCTTGGGACCCTCTTGGCCCGCCTTGGGGCGGTCTTGGGCGTCCCTTGGGCCGTCTTGGGGCGGTCTTGGAGGCCTCTGGGGACGTCGTGGAGCGTCGAAAGCTCGAAAGACGAGAATCCCAAAAACATTGTAAAATTTTTGTTAAATCAGTGGTTTTGCATCCTGGGGCCCTCTGGGGAGCGAAAGTGGAGTCCTCTTGGGCGGTCTTGAAGCTGTATGGGGCTGCAGGTAAGCCACGCGGGACATATCGCAACCTTCTTATCTGACTATGACGCCATTGAAGGCCGTCTGGGGGGCTCTTCTGGGGCCGTCATGGGCCCCTTTGGGGACCGTTTTGGGACCCTCTTGGCCCGTCTTGCGGCGGTCTTGGGGGTCCCTTGGGCCGTCTTGGGGCGGTCTTGGAGGCCTCTCGGGACGTCGTGAAGCGTCGGAAGCGAAAGTCGAGAACCCCCGAAACCTGGGAAAACCTATAATTAACCAATGATAAATCAATGGTTTTTGCCTCTTGGGGCCCTTTGGGGAGCAAAAAATTAATCCTCTTGGGCCGTCTGGGGCTGCCCGGAAGCCCGCGGGACATCTCGCAGCCTTCTGGTGTCATTGTGACGCCTAAGGCCGTCTGGGCGGGTCTTCTTGGGCGTCATGGGCCCCTCTTGGGGCCGGCGGCATGTGCGCGGCCCAGGGGGGGGTGGGCCAGGAACGTAATGAAATTCGCCGGCCCAACGGGCCAGAGGCGTGCTAAGATCTCCGGTAACTGGTTAACAATATTTCTAGTTCGCGCGCGCGCGGAGCGGCCCCTGGGCCCCCCCGGACAAAAAGCACCCCGGCAAGGTCCCGGGAGAAGCCCCCAGAGCACTCCAGGGGAGGGCCATTTTTCGACACCCCTCACGAGAATCGTGGCCTCCAAGGGGGGAGCCGCAACCGACTACCCCCCCTCCCGCCCCAAGAGGCCCCCAAAAGCTCCCCAAGAGGCCCTGGGGGCCTCCAAGACGCCGCCAAGGAGCCCCAAGAGACTCCCCGGCGGAATGAGCGAAGCGATTAAATAAGAAGAGGCGCCATGAAATCTGAGGAAATATCACGGCCCACGCCATGATGTCCACCCCCCTGGTCATCACCCCCCTCTTTGCCGCCCCCGAACTCAGACCTCAAGAAAGCGACCACCGGCTGCGGGGGGGAGGCTCCCCTGGCCACTCGGGAAGGCACCTCCTCCCCAGCTCTGGTGGGAGGACGGTCCAGGGGCCTGCCATCGCCCGGACGCCCGTTCCCCGTGCATGCTCCGGATTCGCGCGCCCACTTCTCGCAGGCACCTCCCGTCTTGCCTGAAGTCGGGCCTGTCCCCCTACAGGGGGATCATCCCGGCAAAGCAACCTCACAGCGATGTGTAGAAGCAGATCTGAAAGCATTCCCCTTAAGATTCAGATGAAAATCCAGTTGTAGAATTCTGCTGTTCTCGCAGTCGTAGTCGCATTCGCGATGACAGTCGCAGCGGCAACGGCAGTCGCAGTCACAGCCTCAGCCTCAGCCTGCCTCAGCCTCAGCCTCAGCCTCAGCCTGCCTCAGCCTGCCTCAGCCTCAGCCTGCCTCAGCCTCAGCCTCAGCCTGCTTCAGCCTCAGCCTCAGTCTGCCTTCAGCCTCGGCCTCAGCCTCAGCCTGCCTCAGCCTCAGCCTGCATCAGCCTCAGCCTCAGCCTCAGCCTGCCTCAGCATCAGCCTGCCTCAGCCTCAGCCTCAGCCTGCCTCAGCCTCTGCTTCAGCCTCAGCCTCAGTCTGCCTTCAGCCTCGGCCTCAGCCTCAGCCTGCCTCAGCCTCAGCCTGCCTCGGCCGCAGCATCAGCCTGCCTGCAGCAAATGTGCCAGGAAAGTTCTGTGGCCTACAGTTGGCTCCGGGCATCAAAATGTGGCCCGGGAATGGAGTTCTGGGAACTCGAAGAGCACGAAGTGGCCTACAGTTGGCTCCGGGCATCCAAAATGTGGCCCGGGAATGGAGTTCTGGGAATCGAAGAGCACGAAGTGGCCTACAGTTGGCTCCGGGCATCCAAAATGTGGCCCGGGAATGGAGTTCTGGGAAGTCGAAGAGCACGAAGTGGCCTACAGTTGGCTCCGGGCATTCAGAATGTGGCCCGGGAATGGAGTTCTGGGAGGTCGAAGAGCACGAAGTGTGTGACTGTTTGCGAAAAACGAGTGCGGCGGCAGCCGCGGCGGCAGCCTGTCCGGGTCCCGCCCAGACCCCCCTGAGGAGTCATGATGCTTTCTTTTGAGACCACTAGAAACCTATCAGCAAGAGCTGTCAGGGAATTTTCGACGAAAAATAAAACATACCCCCAAGATAGTCAAAGAAAAGTCCAAAAGTAGTCAGGGGACGATTTCATCAGTATTTTTGTGGACCTTCTTGGGGGTATGTTTGGGGTCTGTTATGTTTTTCGTCGAAAATCCCCCTGCATGGGGGACACGCCCGACGTAAGTCTTGCCTGCGGCGTGCTGCTGCGACAAGCTCGGAGGCAAAGCCAACCCGGGGGCCTGCCGGAGCTCGCGGCGGGGGGGGCTCCGCCGGGGGCGGCGCCGAGAGCCGGCGCCCCGCCCCGAGGCCCGGGGGGGGCGGGGCGGGGGCCCGCCTGCGCTGCGCAGCGGCGATGCGCGGGAGGCTGATGTCGCAGTACTTCTCCTGGGGGGGGGGGCGCGGCGCTCGGGTGGGGAGGGGCGCGCTCCGCGCGGCCTCAAAAGGCCGCGCGAGCGGCGATGTTGGTCTTAACGGCGACGTCGGGAATCTGGCTTCTGTGGCGCCGAGCTCGCGCAGAGGAGCTTGCAGGAGATCACGAAGCACCGTTTCCGACATCCCAAGCATGCGAGCATGTCGAACGAAAGCGGCACAGCGAGTTGTAGGGAAGCACGAACCACGCGTTACTACAATTGCTTTGGCCACGTACCATGCTTTCCTACAATTGGTTTCCCTACATCGCCGTTAGCAAAGACACCGTCAGCGCGTCTACGGGGCCTCCCAGGACAGTGGCAACTGCACAGTCAAGAGCCATCCACAAGAGACCCATCGCAAGACGCCCGGCCCTGAGAATCACCGAAGCCTCTTGGGCCAATGTTGAGTCTCTCGACTGGGTAGCGGCTGCCAGCGGAGAAAATCAGGGTACCCTGGACCAGGCGGTTCATGGATGGCTCGCTCAAAGCGTTACCGGCGTCAAGACACTCTGGGCACCCTGCCAACTGCGGTTTCTTCGCGACCACTGCAGGCCATCAATCCGAGCACAAACCTAAGAAACCCAGGGTACCCTGGCCAAACGTAAGGTTCGGTGGCAACTCATGGGAGCCTCCTATACTATCATTTTCTGTTTCGTGGCACATGCTCCTGCAGTCATCAGCTGCGGCGTGAGCACGGGCGCGGTCAAACTGTGAATGGACGGGCTGTCTGCTGTAAGTGACGGCCCGCCCGAGCCTGCCCCACCTCCGACAGGGTCGGCACACGCGCGCGCGTCGCTACCAGCGAGGGCGCGAAGCACCCCTCCTGCAGATCTGCTCTGCGACAAACCAGAAACATCGGAGGCCGCGCTATACAGCGTGCAGCTTCTGTGCACAAGTCCTGGCCTCCTGCGTCGCGCGCCGCGCTCTCGAGGTCAGGCCTGCTGGCCCAGCTTGGCGTCCTCCAGGGCGCCCTCCGCGCGGTCCGCCGCGGAGCAGGCGCAGAAGTAGGGCTCCGGCCGCACGTGGGTCAACTGCGCTCCTCCGGCGGCCCTCGCCCAGAGGCCCGCGCAGATGGCGAGGGCGCTGAGCGCACCCCAGGCGGAGATGTACACGCCCGGCCCCAGCCTCGAGTACTCCAGGGACCCCTGGGCCATGACCCCCGCGGCGCCGCCCACGAGGCTCATGGCCAGGTTGTGGGTGAGCCCCACCCCGAGGCTCCTGCCCTGCGTCGGGAAGAGCTCCGCGCAGAAGAGGCCGCTGGCCGCCGCGCACACCGCGATGGGCACCCCGTAGCCCACGCCCAGGCACAGGAAGGCCACCGTCCAGCTCGCGGGCCAGGACTCCAGGACGGCGAAGACGGGGACCCCGACCAGCGCGGTGAGGACGGCGCCCGCCAGCATCATGCTGGCCACCCCGATCCGGTCGCCGAGCCGCCCGAAGCAGGGCACGAGAACCGCCAGCAGCGCCTGCTGCAGCGTGGCGAGGAGGCTGCTGTACTGGAGGCCCCTGGCCCTGAGGAAAGCGACGATCCAGGAGGTGGCCGTGTAGTTGAGGGCGGCGAAGCCGGCCACGGCCGCACAGCCGAGCAGCACGTGGCCGATGTAACACCGCACCACCGAGAGCTTGGCCAGGAAGCGGCCCCTCCTCCCTGCCTCCAGAGCGCCCTGCTCAGACGCCCGGTCCTGGAAGAGCTGCCGAAAATCCTCCGTCTCCTCGACGGGGCTCGAGCTGAACAGTGTTTTTCGTGCTCGCTTCGGTTCCGTGTTCCTCAGCTATGCTTTCCCTCTGCCTTTGCCGCGAAACGAAATCAGAACAAAAGCGGCCAACCAGATCGCCAAAACACCATTCAGCTCGAGCCCCGCTCCTCGATGCGACTGCGCCCCCAGAGCGCCACGAGGCCGAGCGGCAGCACCAGGAGGAAGGGAAGCCGCCAGCCCCGGGCCTGCATCTCCGAGGGGCCCAGCGAGGCCTCCAGCGCGAAGACGACGCCGGCCGTGACCGCGGACGCGAGGTAGGCCACGGTCAGGTAGAGGGAGGTGACGAGGTTCTTGTGCTGGTCGGGGGCCTCCTCGGCGAGCATCGCCATCATCGTGCCCTCCTCCCCGCCCACGAAGAAGCCCTGAGCGAACCGGAGGGCAACGAGGGCGTAGATGCTCCACCCAGCGCCGCCGCTGGCGGCGGGGAGGGCGCCCTGAAGCCCCGTCGCGAGCACCATGCCCAGCAGGGAGACCAGGGTCACGGGCCTGCGACCGCACCTGTCCGCGACAATGCCGAAGACGAGGCCGCCGAGCGGCCGCGTGACAAACGACGCCCCGTAGCCGAGCCACACGCCCACGTCCGAGCCGCCGAAGAAATCGTGCACCAAATAGGGCGCCAGGTAGCCGTACACCGCGAACTCGTACCACTCCAGCGTGTTGCCCAGGAAGAGGGGCCAGGTGCGCCGCAGCAGCGGGGCCAGCTCCGAGGTCGTGCGGCTCTCTGAGCGGGTGGAGTCAGAGGAGGTGTCGCTGCCTGGAAGCGCCGTCGCCATGGGCCCGATCGAGCCAGAGAAGCGATCCGCGACGTCCTGGAGCTGCGGAAATGTAGCCCGCTCGGGTGAAGCGACTGGAGCTGTTCTTGAACCCAAAATGGCTTGCCCGCTCTTGCGTATCGACGCTAATCGACGCTAGATGGACGCGAGATCGACGCTGAAGCGGCGCTGCATCGGCGCTGTCTCATCGACTACCAGGCGCGAGTCGACGCTAGTCGACGCTGAAGACGGAATGGCGAGGGCACGCAGGGCTCCCGTGATCTGCTGCCGAAGTAGGGTGCTGCCTGGCCAGGGGCTCCCGCCGCACTGCCAGAGCGCCCACGGAGCGCGAGAGGCGCGCTCGAGCCACGCCTGACATCCTGCCCGTCCCACTGCTCCTGCCCAGTACGTGGATCCCTCTCGATTCGCCCAGTCGAGACGCGACTGGAGCGGAGCTCGACTCCCCGGTGGCGTCTGCCATGCTTGACCAAGAAGCGCGAAGGAAGGTTACCGCGAGAGATGGCGCGCACCATCGAGCTGCGCTGCTGCGCGACATAAGAACAAAAAAAAACAAACAGCTGCGTAAACATGATCTCTCGGAGCTCCGCGCAGGTTTCTCGCGCCGGAGGCGCCGCCAGGAGGGTCCAGCGCCCTCCTCCTCCTCCTCCTCCTCCTCCTCCTCCTCCTCCTCCTCCTCCTCCTCCCCCTCCCCCTCCTCCTCCTCCTCTCCTCCTCCTCCTCCTCCTCCTCCTCCTCCTCCTCCCCCTCCTCCTCCTCCTCCTCCTCCTCCCCCTACCCCTCCCCCTCCCCCTCCCAGGAAATCCGCGCGGAGCTCCGAACAGTGCCGCTCACGCGGCTGCCTTCTCTTCGGAGGCGAGCCCGGGGGAGAAGGGAGAAGGAAAAGGCCTCCCCAGAAGGCTCGAAAGCCCCCCGGCCTTCCGAACAGTGTCTCACGCGTTCCCGAAGACGCGGAAAACACCTCCCAGAAGGCCCCCGGGGGGGTTCTGAGAAGGGCCGCCGCCTTCTGCGAAGGCCTTCTCCTTCTCTCGCTTCCCCCCCTCGTTCGCTCGCCGATCTTCGAGCGAGACGTGCCGAGTCGTGCTGGTTCAGGTTGAAGCTTCCACGGCGCGGGGTAGGACTCGCCGTCGCTCGGACGTCCACTCCCTGTGCACTGCTTCAGTCTCCTGCGTGTTGTTTTGGGCCCGGTGCTCCAGGATGCTACCCACTGGTCCCCGCCGAGAAAGATAAGGACTAGAACAACCACCCACGTAAAAAGCACCCCGACAAGCAAAGGCGTTCAGTGAACGCACCCAAAGGAGGATAATCGGATAGGGCAGGGCTGTTTTGTTTAGTACCCGCCCCGGGCCGCGCAGCAAACGCTAATGATCGGGGTCGGGGTGGTTGTTTCTTCCCTTGACAAGCAAAAAAAAAGAAAAAGAAAACACGTCCGAACGATGCCAAGTTGAAGCTCCCGCGGCGCGGGGCAGGAGGGGCAGCGAGAGAGGGGCAGCGAACGGGAGCGGGCGGCGGAGAAGCTGCTGAATGGGGGGGTGAGCGAGAATGAACGGGCCCAGGGGCACAAACACAAACACAAACAGACGCACACCCCAGTATCTTTCCGCATGTTCAGGATGTTCGCCCCCCCCCCCCCCCCAAATGGACGGTTCCCCCCGGTGCCGTGGGCGACCTCGAGGCAGGGAGGGCGAGGAGGGGGAGCGCTATGGCGCAACGGCGAAAGCGCGGCTCCCGAGTGCAAGCTCGGCCGCACCATCCACAGCACTCGCGAGGGAATGACGCTCCCGACTTCGGCGGGGACCCTCGCGCCTGACGCCGCGAGACCTGCAGGGCCTGCGCGGGTCCGAGGCTCGCACGTCCCCCGCGGGCCGCGACAGCTTTGCGCCGCGAAGCACCCACAAGCCGAGTGATACAATATCCCGTTCAGCTCGGACCAGGAGTGGGTCTCGTGGCAATGGATGGCCAACGGGTGAGCAGCAGCACCCACGACCGCGGGCCCAGGGCCCAAAACCTGACCCTGACTCCTCGAGGGAGCGAAGCGAGCAAGACGACTGCCTGTGCACGCGCTGGCCCAGAAGGGCGACATAGGCCCACGCACGCTGCATTCAGAGCGACAGATACTACCCTTGACAAGGGTGCGGAGCACCACGGGGCAATGACCCTGTTCTCGCACCGTCTCCACGTGTGCCGACGCGAAGATGCGCGTCCGACGACGCACGCGGCCGAGACCTTCACCCCGCCCGATGCGAGCATTCCGCCCGTCACGAGGGCAAGTCGAGAAAACGTCACGCTGGACGGCGACCAAACGACGGAGGATAGCCACGTGGAGGTCATCCTGCAATAGAGTCCGAACTGCCAGATGCTCAAGAACCTTTGCCCTCCGCGCGACCTCCAACGCGCGTGCGTCGAGAGCTCCGTTCAAAAACCGTTCAATGCGAGTTAAGCCGAGG